TTTGCTTTGGTTTTCTCCTCTGTTGTTATTATGGATGTCTTCCGAGCGTTAGCTGCTTCTTCTTCTTCTAAGCCTACAAAACCATCAGCTCTTTCGTTCAGCTCGTCCATGGTCTGTGGCGTATTCACCACCAGACTTGTGTGGAACGGAGTCCGACGAATCATGGCCAGCTTGAATGCCTGAACCGCCGTGGACGGATGGCACTCGATTACCATGCTCTTGGTTAAATTGAATTTGGTAAGAAAGGCTTGGAGGCGTTCATCTTCATGCTGCTGCATCGTGAACAGACTGGAGACATCTTTTGCCAGGCGCTTATCCCCGTAGTACTGGCTGATGAACCGATCGCAAAGGCTTCGGAAACTATCAATCGAGCCCCTCGGTAAGTTTTTGAACCAATTGAGCGCTGGTCTAGCTAAGCTTGTTGGAAAACATTTACACATTAAGGAGTCGTTCTCCATGTTCAGAGCCATTTTCAATTGGATATGATATACATGATCGACCGGATCAGTCGTTCCATCAAACAGGATGAAAACTGGCATGGAGAATTTCCTTGGACTCGAAGCATTCAGAATTTCATCGGTAAACGGTGAGTCAATCGTCCGAGCTGCTGAACGAAAGGCCTCATTCTCTCTATGGAACATTGCGGCAGCTCTCTGATCTGTAGATCTCCTTTTTGAGCTTCGGTAGTCTAACGTAGCCATTGAAGGTCGATAAAGCGAATCGGATGATCTTTCCTCCATATATTCCTTCTGCCAGATCGGTGTAGTTTTGTGATGTCCAAACTCCACAGCTTCTTCTCGGTTGAACCTCTCCTGATATGGATTAAAAGTCATTGCCTCGTTCCACCTGATTTGCTCACGCTGTGGATCTAAGTGAATTGAGCCTTCTCGATCATCAAAACGACGAGGATTTGGCGGCAAATCATCCGGCCTAACCTCCTCGTGACGAGGATTTGTCAGATAGTTCTCTTCCTCTTCACCTTGACGCGCAACAACAGGATGCACAACCTCTTCACCCGCCGGAAGCGGCTGCAGAATCGTCAGAGCTTCTTGGCGCTGCATTCCAGCTTTCAGCTCTGCAATCTCTTTCCTGAGAACTTCGATCGTGTTCATCAACTCATCAAGCTTCATCTGCTGGACATTCTCCACCGGATTGGAGCTCTCGCCTCCCATCATGACTCCGGAGCGAAACAAAGGCATGAATCACAAGATTTTAATCAGATCTGAGCTTTACTGATGCAAATCTCGTCGGATCTGGACTCAAATTCACCGAATCGCGATCACAGTTCGCTAGATCTGAGCTTTTCTAGCTTCTAACTCACCGGATCTAGCTGCGATCACGCAAATCTCAGTTGCGTAATTCCGACGCAAACACGTCAAAACCAACAACAATCAAGAATTCTTTCAGAAAAAAATAAATAAATAAAAAATAAATAAAAAACTGCAACCTCTTCGATCTGGATTCAATTTCAAGAAATCTTGTTTCGTCTTCACGGATCAGTTTGAATTAATATGACATCGATCAAGCATGAATGAATGTTCTTCATTGTTTCCCACAAACGGCGCCAATTGTAAATGCAAGAAAATCTCTCCCTCCATTTTGACAGAATTTCAGTACATTTCACCATCATCCCCCCCTCTTTACTCCCTTCACTACCTATTTATAGGCAATTACAGGTGCTGCTAGACTATCAACTTTGGGCCTTCTTCCAGTGGGCTTGGCCTTATTCGGTGGATCCTCCGAGCTCGGCCGATTCTGCAGTGCTCTTGTATGGGCTGAATTCAATTGTTTGCCTCGATGCCACGTCCGCGGATCATAACCGGCCCATATTACTTATTGTATCCTCAAATACATTTCTTTTGAAATTGATTTATGCTTGTCATTGTTTTTATTAAGACTATGGTGCATGTTAAAGTGACTAAGACTAATTAAATTAGTGAAAAGCATGGGGCAATTGAATTTTTTTTTTTTTTTCCTTTTTCTTTTTTAATAAAACACACTACACCTCTTGAAATCCTGACTATGCCCTAATCAACAATCTTCTACAGGAAACCAATAAGAGATTGAATTGCCTCGTCAATCGAAAACCTTCCTCACCAAGTACTGTAAAGTGATATATTTGTTTATCGAGAATCAATGATGGCAATGGAGAAAAGAGTGATAGAAGAAAATAAATAATGGTTTGATTATGGGATAGAGATGGATGATAAGAGATATTACTAGTAATTGAGATTCTTTCGTAATTGGATTATGTAAGGATAGTTGTCTTTAAAATTTTATCTTTCTAAGTGTAGTACAACTATAGCACACAATCACTATCGACTTAAATTTTGGGCCTGAGTATTCGGTGCAAGTATCATTTTTCAAATAATAATATGTTTCAATTTAAGTAAAAGGAAAATAATGCAGAGAGGGCAAAGAACCGAAATTGTGCTTCATAGAAAACAAAACTATGACTTTTCCTCTATTTAAAGGATGATGACAAATTCCTCCTAAACGCAACATTAAAATATTGATAAGGAACTAAATGATGTCATTGAGGAGGAGAAAAAAGGAAAAAAGAAATATATATAAATATAAATATAAATATATATATATATATTAAATGTGCAAAGAGTTTTAGTGTTTCAGTATTTATTTTTTAATATAAAAAATATTTATTAATTGATGTAAAACTCTAAAAATTACCTAATAAAATTCAAATTACCTATTTATCTATTTGTTTCTAAAAAAAATTACCTCATAAAATAAATCACCACTTTCAAATTACTTAATAAAATTCAATTACAAATTACCTACTAAATCTATACTATTATTAAAAAAGTTTCTATAAATTCAAATTACAGATTACCTAATAAATCTATACTATTATTAAAAGAGTTTCTATAAAACAATAACACAAAATCTATATCTATATCTATTATTATAAAAGATAATGACATTCATCCAGCCCAGCCCAGCCCAGTTATGATTATATCCTTATCAAAAGAGAACATATATCATCATCTTATTAATTCAAGAACTCTATAAATAGAGGCATAAATGAAGGAGGAATGCTACAAAAATTCAGGATTCTAGAAATCCAAAAGGGCATAAATTAAGAGACTCGGAATTTCAGAATAAAAAACATCCAAGCCTTGAAGAAGAAGGGCAATAAGCAACAAGCACATCTAAACTCATATAGTTCTAAATTGTATCATTCTTCATCAAATTCAACCTCAACAAAGAATAACAATTAAAATTGTTCCGTTCTTTTCTCCGTGATTCAATAAATTTTCAACTTCAACAAAGAATAACAATCAAAATTGTGCCGTTCTTTTCTCCGTGACAACAAATTTGAAGAGTCACTCAATAACACTCTTCGAGATCAAGATTCATCAGCACATGATCCAACCAACAAAGGACACAAACACAAATCAATTACCAATTAAAATTAAATAAGTAAACTAAAATAATTTCTCTAAAACTCTACCACAAATTATCTTTTATGATGAGTTTGTTTAATAAAAAGGAAATAATTAGACAAGGATACATTTTAAAGAAAATAAAATAATTTCTATAAAATTATACCACAAATTACCTATTTTATTTTCAATAAAACTTTATTACATTAGACTCTTAATGATATATTTAAAAAGTTTCTATAAAACTCTAACACAAATTTACCTTATTTATCTATTTATTATGAGTTTTTTAATAAAAGAAAATCTAATTAGACAACAATTATTAATATAAAAATATTTATTAATTGATATAGAAAATAAAATAATTTCTTTAAACACAAATTATCTTTTATTATGAGTTTTTTAATAAAAGGAAATCTAATTAGACAAGTATATATTTAAAGAAACTAAAATAATTTCTTTAAAACTCAACCACAAATTAGCCATTTTATTTTTCAACCACAAATTACCTATTTTATTTTCAATAAAACTCTATCACATTAGACAAGGATATATTTAAAGAGTTTATATAAAACTCTAACACAAATAACCTATTTATCTATTTATTATTTTGAGTTTTTTAAAATAAGAAAATCTAATTAGACAAGAATTATTAATAAAAAAATATTTATTAATTGATATATAAAATAAATAAAATAATTTTTATAAAATTGTACCACAAATTACCTTTTATTATGAGTTTGTTAATAAAAGGAAATATAATTAGACAAAGATATATTTAAAGAAAATAAAATAATTTTTATAAAACTCTACCACAAATTACCTGTTTTTTTTCAATGAAACTCTATCACATTAGACAAAGATATATTTAAAAAGTTTATATAAAACTATAACACAAATTACTTTTTTATCTATTTATAAAAAATATTATTTATTTATTATTATTATTATTATTATTTTTGTGAAAGTTCTTTTAATTAATCAGATGTATTTAGAATTGTTTTTATCGGCTGGAATTCGTTAGAATTGACGAACAATTATGATTCTGGTCAGATCTGTTTGAAGTTTATTAAGAGTTCATTGAATCGATTGAGTTTGATCAAATCTGATTTGTGATATGTTTCTAGATTGATCTTTGTATTTTTAAATGTCCATTCCAAAAGAGTTTATGTTAAGATTTGCATATCTTTCTAAATTTCCATTCCAAAATATTTTATCTTAAGATCTTGTATTTTTAATTTCTATTCCCAAAGATTTTATGTTTTCAAGTTTCGTTTCCAAAATTAATTTTTATCCGTGTATTTTTGTTTTATAAAGCTTTAAGGTTTTACTTGGATTGCATTTATATAAAAACAGTCCTCTCGAGAATTAGAATAAAGATAATTTTTCAGATTTTAAACCCACTTGTTAAGAGAATTAACAAAACAGAAAACAAAAACTCAAAGGATTTGTTTCTCAAGAATTTAAAGAATAGAAAAAAAAAAATTTAGTGTGTTTTTTTCTAGATGGGTATATGCTAGTCCGAATATTTGAATATCTTGTAATATATAATGTTTATGGTTGAAAACAGACGGCGAAGTCCATCCGAACCGTCCAATGAAGAATAAGAGGACAGCAAAGCTACAATGGCGCGCGAAGCGCATGCGGAACGGACACGGATCAAAAGACGTGTGGCAGATCTTTGTGAAAACCCTCACCGGCAAGACGATCACCCTGGAGGTGGAAAGCTCAGACACCATAGACAATGTGAAAGCAAAAATCCAGGACAAAGAGGGCATCCCACCAGACCAGCAAAGGCTCATCTTTGCCGGAAAGCAACTCGAAGACGGCCGAACCCTAGCGGACTATAACATCCAAAAGGAGTCGACCCTTCACTTGGTCCTCCGCCTGAGAGGGGTTATGCAAATATTCGTGAAGGGAAAAACCATCACTTTGGAAGTGGAGAGCGCTCGGACACTGTAGACAATGTCAAAGCCAAGATTCAAGATAAGGAGGGCATTCCTCCTGATCAGCAGAGATTGATCTTTGCTGGGAAGCAGTTGGAAGATGGGAGGACCTTGGCTGACTATAATATTCGTCTCCGTGGTGGTGGTGGGATGCAAATATGATGGTGGTCTTGGGTCATTTGTTGTGGTTCAATGTGTTAGGATTTTTCTTCGGGTACTGTTTTATGCAATATTTGTTCCATTACTCTTTTACCCATGCAAATGCAGTGTAGGCATTGGGTTATGCAATAATGATAGTCCCCAACATGCCCCAGCAGGATTGATTCATAAAATAACCTCTCTTTTTTTGCATCAAGCTCAAACTTCCTTCTTGCATGTGTGCCCTTTCCGAAGCACATATTATAATTATAATAAGAGGTAGAAATTTATTGGTATCATCCAACCCAATCTCCAAACAATATCTGTACTATCTGTACTCCAAACAAAATATCTGTACTATGTGTACTCTTTGTTTCGTTTCAGTGTTTCAGCTTGTGGTGTTTGTTGCCGCCATATAGTTTCAGGATGTAAATATTACTTCTGAATTATTTTCTTCCTTTCATACCATACAACCCATTAAACATCTCTTTGGACGGGCTATTGTACCAGGTAGGCCATTAATACCGTAGGCAAAACACACCTGCATACACAAAGGCATTCCAAAGCCTTAGACAGAGCTAAGCATCGTAATACAGGCACATAATACCCTTTCATCCGGTTGTTTGTTTATATTTTTAATTATATATATATATATATATATATATATATATATGTGTGTGTGTGTGTGTGTGTGTGTGGGGTCAAGTCTTATTAGAAAAAAAGTGCATATAACTATTATTAATTTTTGAGCAATTTGTCCCCTATTGAATAGTTTTTTTTACAAAAAAAAAAACCCAAGCACAAGACTTTTTGTTTGACAAGAATGCCCCTACTAAATGGATTTGTTTGCATATGTTTCAAGACTTGTCCAAAGAAAACCGCAGGAGGGTTGGTAAGGAGTTTTTTTCACTTATCCATATATATATTTATAATTGTCACATATTATATATGGTATGATATTCATTTATTTAATAATTTGATTTATTTTTATTCATTAATTTCATAAAGAGGAGGGAGAATGGCAAACAAATCCCTTACTATTACCCAGTTGCGAAAAATCCCCTTATGAATATTTTTGACAAAAAATCCTCCTCAACTATCCCAAAGGGGTGTTTTTAACTGATGTCCGATGTCCTTTTAAATGGTTGTCTAAGGAATTTTTTTTTAACAAAATCCGTTTAAGTGGTTGTCTAAGGAATTTTTTTTTAACGAAATTACCCATTAACAGATTATTATTCAGACAATTTATTTATTTTTTCTCTCTTCTCTCTCTCCGTCAAGTAAGCCTTCCCATTCCTTCAAACACAAAGCTAAGTAGTTAACAACGCGGATCGAGAAACTCAATTGTTGAAAATTTATCTTTCAACACTGTTTGGACAATATAATATAGCACGTATATACACAAATTTCGTAGTCTGCAAATAAAGAACGAAAGATAGGGCAAATAATAATTTATTATAAAAATTTTGATACAATTCTCTGAGATATTTTTTACAAAAGAAAGAAAATATCCTCTAATTCGATCTCCTTTGTTGGTTGGATTCAAGGGCTGTTGGAACTTGATCTTGAATCAGGTTTGTAACGACCCTTAACTGATACCATTTTTTTTTTTTTTTTTTTTTTTTAATTCGGCATAACCTCCCCAAAATATGGACCTACCGCAGCCTGTTTAAATGCATTCTTAACCTGTCATGCAACTGATTTCTGAATTCACGGCAACAGTATATGATCATACATAGTCAAATAATACCGATAATTACTTTAATTAAAATTATCATTCCAATTCATCAACAAGGTTACATGCTATCAAATTCCCATCCAAAATACCATCAAATACCTTAGTTACATTACATGACAAAGTTTTACAAAATATATATATATATATACCTTTACACTTTTAGTGCTTTGCAAAAATAATGGGGAATATACAAAAGACACAAAAGTGAGCTTCTAGTATCGCTCAAGCTTGAGGTGGGTTGTCGTCCATCAGTTCTTTTCCAAGACCTGAAAAAATAAATGTATAAATAGTAGGGTGAGCTATATGCTCAGTAGGTGACACTTAAGACACAAATCTTGTGTCCTTGTAAATTCAAGCAAAGAATATGCCAATGGGAAATAGGGATCATTCAATGTAGGGGATCTTATACAACACACAAGTCATTTCCCAATATAATCAATGCAATGCAATGAATGCAAATGCATGCCAATGTCACTCCCCATTTTCATTCTCGAAACCATCACTTTCAAATGTTAATGTAACCCCCTTTGGTAACTCCGCCGTGACGAGAGAAGGATTGGCTACCGTCCCTAGGCCTTTGGTGACTCCGCAGTGCCGTCGAGGGGCCCGAATAGCTCAACCACGCTAGGGTACTCTCCTTAGTTCCCTCTAGGTTACATTAACCTACCGGCCCGTTGGTAACTCCGCAGCGACCGGGTTTATCAAAACCATTTCACAAAAACCATCATCTCCCAAAATTCCCCATTTCATTCCATTGACAAATTCACCCCTTTTTATGCATCCCAATGACATGAGCATGCATGTATGTATATGTGACATGCCTTCAATATTATAACATACAAAATTTTACTCCATAACTTAAACATATAACATGTCAACATATTCGAATGGAGTAACAACACAATTAAGCAAAACATAATACATCTAGGCATATATCATGTTCATCATCTTCAATTAAATCAACAACACATTTAACATCACAAAGCTACAATCTAGACATACTTTTTACATGGAACCAATCAAAATGAAAGTCATGAAATTCTCTAGACCATATTTAAGAAATCATCAACACAAAAAAATCTCAAGTAGAGCATGTTAGCACATAAGAGATACATAATTCACAATGGGACAAGAAGTAGATGGATTAAGATGCCCCTACCCCGAAATCAAGCGAAATCCCTAGAAATGGGTTTCAAATTCGCACTCCAATAGGTGCCCAAAGCTGGAAATTGATGGTATGGATGTATAGAGCTTGACACGAGCTTCGTTTGCCTCAAACGGCCCCTCAATCCGATAAGCGATGAGTGAGAAATCAAAATCCAAAGTTTGGTTCACAAGTGAAAAGAAAAAGAAGAGAGAAAATGAGAGAGCAGAAGGGCTTACGGGAAAAAGAGAGTGAGAGAGAGAAATAGGTTTCTCACCCATTTTGTGGGTGGGTGGTGGGGCCCACTTACTTTAATTTTCTTTTCTCTTTTTCTTTTTGCTTAATTTACACCTCATACACATAAAATACTCCTCTAAATAAATGCTACATCATCACACAAATTAAATTTCACAAAATAAAATTGGACCCAACAACAATTCCAGACGATAAGTAAAAAGACGAAAATGCCCTTGCGGTGAAAAATTCCCAGAAAGAATGAAAAATGCTAAAATTTGGAAGCATCACAATTTACCCTCCTTAAAGAGATTTCGTCCTCGAAATCTGTTCTCCTTAAAGAAGAAGCACAACAGTCACCCATCCTCCAAGAATACCCTTCAAAACTCCAAGACTATGAATCCACCTACATTATTACCTTTGACGTCGAACGTCAACAAGCAATCACAATCTGTCGTCAGAAAAACCTAATGATCACCACCCTAGGAGGGTACTCACCATTCACAACATTGAATACTAAACCTGCTGAATTCTATACTTGACTTAAAACTAACACTGGTTCTCTCTATACTGTTATACAAGGCTCGAAAGAACAATGATCCTAAGACCCCTGGTCATGATCACATCCTATCTTAACTCATCCCTTTAAGGGACAACCCATACCCCAACGAGGATCAGACTTAATCTCAGATCATCACATCATTATCAAACCAACACCTGTCATCAATCATACGACTATACAACTACATAATCATACAATAACCACCAATCACACTAATCAATAATTATCATACTAATCAACCTCAAAATAATTAAATAATAAATCTCTCAACAAGCATAAAATCGCGAGCCACCGAAATAATAAAATGCACCACCTTGTACTCTGAACACATGTCCTCAAATCGAAATCCTCAATAATCAATGATTGTACCATAAACCTGTTATCAAACACCCAATATCATTTAACACTTCTCATCACCCAAAATAACTTATGAAAGTCCACACTGTCACATCAGCACCACACACTATACTATACTCTCACTATCACTGACAAGTCGGAACGATCATTGACCTTTGACCTGACATCGTGCCAAGAAAGGATCGATTCAGGAGAAATGGTTGGCCAGGCCATTCTCATCCTCACTCCAATCTCAACACCGATGTCATCCCTGTCCTCAAGTCTAAACCTCAAACAGAATCTTCTACAGCTCACAAAACAACACAAGATCGACTCTTGAATCAATCTGTCACTCCACATGACCTCATCAACAATACAATCACATACTAGTTCTAAAAACCCCAAGATAAATCATGCCTCAATCATATCAAGCCAAAGTAATACATCGCCAATACCTCGATCACCAATCAACCTAAAGCCTTTCGATCACTTCATATCACCCTCAATCCGTAATCATCATCATAACATTATGCGATTCGATTCTAACCTCTTCAAAACACTCAATACGATCATTTCATGCTAAAAACCTCAAACCAAGGTCAATCATTCCTATTATTCCTCAATGGAACACCATAATCATTTCCTAACTGCTTAGTATTCAAACAACACCAACACTTGTCCTCAAAGCACCGATCAATTCAGACATTAATAAAAACAGCCAAATACATGAGTCCTATCACATCTCTTAATTTTCCTCAAATTGCAATTCATGACACATCTCTTAGTCACCATCGTTGGTACCGATCATCAAAACATAATCCTTATTTGGCAACCCGTGCCTCACATCCCACCAATCAAGGCCATTCTCAAAACAAACACTACCAAAAACCAAAGACTAAACAATCCTCCTATAGAGGTAAGTCGACCCCTTCAGTCAAAACCTCAATTGATGACCCCCAATGAAGCAACACCTGCTCACCAATCCATCTACC